TAACCGGATATCGTGACACTTTCCAGGTTCATGACGAGGGAAGCTAACCGCGCGTTGAGTCACGCCTACACGTCCGCCGCACCGCCGAAGTAAGTGTCCGTAAAGCGAGAAACGCCGCCGTCGAAAAGAGTTATAGTTACACACCGCGCAGACGATAGGCCCCTCGACATAAGGATATTCACCGCCCCAGAAGACAGTGAAAGTAAAAAGTGTTTGTGTTGTGGTGGTCGTTACGTGATAAGTGTAAGAACCGGACTGAATTTTTTTTGTAGATTATAGGAATTTGTTATTATTGATTTCAATGACAAAATTAATGGAAGTTACAAGAGCTGAACTTATAGAACGTACCGAAAAACGCGTATTGCAAGGTATTTTTTGCAGTTTTAACCGGCGTGTGTATAGCGACAGTGTGTGAGCGAGAGGTGAATAGATGTGACGCCATTTTCAATCCCATTCTTTAACCGCACGGGTAGTAATATGTTCTACTATTTCGTAATTATGTGATACTTCATTTCTCGAATTTCTCATCATTTGTAAATGGTCTTTAACTTTATGTAACCATATTTACCTTATTATTATTGTAATACTTTTTATAGCCTTTTAAACCATCTTGATTACGCCGCTTTATGTCCATCCATAAAATTCTGTCTTCTTTAATATATTTATGCAACGTTTTCCATTTAGTTTTAACCATTTCCGTAGATCGTGAGTTTTGAATATTTCCTGTGGAGTTGTGATGATAAATATGTTAAAATCCATTTGCTTCAGTCAACTTTTATTTGATATTAATACCTGCCTTTTTCACTAAGATATTCAATACAGTTACACGCAGCATTTATCCAAGCGTTCCACATTTGTAAATTTTCGATAACACTTTCCAAATTTTTGCACCAATTTTGAATAACGTAATCATCACTTCGACCCATCTCTGAATAAAAATATAAAACTATGATAAGATAGATGTACTCATATAGAATAACTGGAAGTAATTTAATATGCAACAATTAATCAGTAAGTATTTACCTCTCTGTTGAAAATGTGAATTATAAGTTTTGGCTATACGGACTGAATTCTGACATGTATTAGGTTTTCGATCTGCAAACAAACAATGAAGGTTATATAAAATAATAATAATGGTGAAAGTTGTTTTGTTTGAGAATTAAATACAGTTCTTACACTCATAATGTATTGATCTCTTTTGAACTAATTCAACAGTCGCGTTAGGACTTTCCTTCGTCTTTTGTTTTGGTCGGTTATCTTGAAATTTCTTGCGTTCTTTTAAAGGCTTTGAATGTATCTCAGTATCAATGACATTCGTTTTCACATTGGGATTACCATTTCCTTTATTGTTGAATTTCCTTTTTATCATAGAATTTGCTATCGTAAAATTTTGTCGTTGTTTATCGTTCCCTTGTTTATGTATTTTACTTTGTTTCTTGATACTTGTATCGTCGATTTTCTTAGGCAAGTATTCATATTTTTTGGGAATATTTACTCTTCCAGTTTCTTTTAATTTATTATTACTTATGTTTTGGGGCTTTTTCTCGTTCTTAGTTTTATCAAAACTTGCATTGGTTTTGATATTGCTGGGTTGTTTTGAATACTTTCCTTGTACCTGTGATCTCTTACTTTTTATTTTGTCTGTTTCATTTTTTCGTTCTACTATAAATTGTTTCTGATCTTCATTTGCTTGAAAATCGGTTTCTTTAATTGTCGGCGACAATTTTTCTCCAATCTCTTTCTCTTTATGAAATTGCGCCTGTGAAACTTTTTCGATATCGGCAACATCGATGGACATTGAAGTGAAATCGTGATTATTTTCAGACGATAGTTCTTTCTTTTCGTCTGCCTCAAAAATGTTCCCTAGTGATGTAACTGATTTATTAACACTTTCAGTAACTTTAAATGTAGGTATGGACATATCCTCTGGCCATGGTTCATCAACATTTGCTGTTAACAATACAAAAATTAGGTATTAAAGCTAAATTATACAAAAAAGACAGAATATTATAGGAATTAACATACACAGTAAATTAGGGTTGGGCGGTGCGAAATCGATGTTCTGCATAATATAATTACTAGATGGTATTTGCACTAAGATCTGGCTGCTGCAAAAATAAATAATTGATCATTATCATAAAATAAAAGTAATGTAATATAATAATATTAAAAATTTTCTTTGAATTAAGTACCTGAATTTTGTTATTAACTGTGTTTGGTTTCCAATATCTAAAAATCAAATCACATCGTTTATTATAAAGATTATACACTTGCCGCTTTAATACAATATTCATTTTATTTAATTAATTAATTATTTGCATGGAAGTAATATATTGCAGTTTTAAAATCACACCGTTGCTTGAGGCGATCCTACCTTTGCAAATGCGTGGCCCTTTAGGTATAAGAAAATTTTCTTAACGTGTACAAAAATATATAATATAACGTATACACAAAGTTAAGCTATATCCTGTATAAAAAGACAGAAAGACATTAAAAGGAAGATAAAAAATAAAAAAAATATATAAAAATGTGATTTGTGTTTTTTTTCATGATTTTTTTTCTTATGTTATTTTTATTCTATTGTTTTTATTATTTCATATGTTAGTTATTGTTGTTAGTTTCATTTTTAGTTGTGCTAATGCTTTTATGCATTATGACATGTCCTGTATGTCTATTACCGGGTTTAGACTCTCGCCTCGTACCTCGCCTCGCAGCTCGCGTATTGTTGCGAGGTAACGAGTGCCTGTTTACACTCTCACGATGCATTCAGTTTGCGTTGAGTCAGCAACCATAGCCAGCAACGATGAAAGACGTCGGAATAATAGCGGCATCAACTCTTGCCTTAATAATTATTTATCGATGCTTGACTATTTTAATAAGAAGGAAATTATAAAAATACGTCGTTGAGGAAGAATATGGTGAATGATATCTATTCATCGAAACAGAACCTTTTCAGTTTCATAATTTTATATAAATTGCTAGTACCTATTGTGCAAGATTAAATAATATTATTTTGTTAAAATTGTAATTTTAAAACAAAAGTAATTCGAATATTACTATGGAAGGGCGCAGTAAACAAACTGAAATGAGAGCGCGAGTGTAAACAGCACGCTGGCGTCCCTCGCGAGGCCCTTTGCCTCGTGCCCAAAAAACCGCCTACGACGCGAGCGCCGCGAGTGGCGAGGTGAGCTGCGAGGCGAGCCACGAACTAGCGTTTACACTCGCACCTCGTGGCACGCCTCGTGACTTGTCTCGCCGCTCGCGCGAGAGTGTAAACGGGGTATATCATGTACCTGAATATTAAACATCATTATGTAAGTAAGATACAATATTATATCTTCTAAGATATGTTGTATAATGATTTATATAGACAGCGTTTGGTGTACCGCAGAAACATAATTATGAATGTTGTCTGCGCTCAAGGATAGAATCGTCTTGTGAGCCTTCTGCTTTGTACTTTTTTGGCAACTGTTCTTACCGTCATCGGCTTTCATAACGGCAAATTATGATGCTTAAACCTGCGTGTGTTGTTTGTATTGAAGTTTTTGGCCTAATGTATCGACCAAGTAAGTGCCACCTATTATAACTTTTTTCGAAACAACTTGGTTATCAGTGTCTTCTAATAATGAAATTCAAACTTTATTACCCATATCAGTATCTGAAAATTTTACTTTTTTGTTATTATCTTCTTCGTTCACGTCTTCTGCAGGTTCCTCAGTCAGTTCTCCTAAACTTGTATCTACAACATTCTCAGTCGTTTGTTTCTGTTCGCTGATTTGAGATGATATTACATCTTCATTTTCTGCATCCATAAAGTCAGTTATATTGTCTTCGCCTTCTTGATTACTTAGGACATTCTCTGTTGTAGTTACATTTCTTTCTATTATATCATTTAATTCTTCATACGGTTGTACATCTTCATTATTTATAATTTCAGTATTACCGGTTTCTAATTCAATTTGATTTGGTTTAAGAGTTTCCATATCAACGTCTTTTTCTTTATCTAAGTTGCTATATGCATGTGCTTTTGAATCGATTATGTAAAATTCGTTGACATTATTATCTATATTTGTTTTCAGTTCACTCAGTAGTTTTGTATCATCTTCTTGTTGGTTTTTATTTTCACTCGTTTCTGAATTTAAATCTAATGCGTCTGGTAAAATTAAACCGTTACTATCGTTTTCTTTAACAGATTTAATTTCATTTAACAGAGTGCTACCACTTCCGCTTTCTAATTCGTTTTTATTTCTAAGAATAACTGAATTAGAATCTAATGCATTTTGTGCCTTATTTTTATCGTTTTCTTCGAAATCAATATCAGATGTTACTTTTGGTAAGAATTTGTTTTCACTTGCATTTCCTACTTCATTGTTATCATGTGCGATAAATATTTTTTCGACTGAATGATCTTTATCACTCTCTTCATTCCTAAAATGAGATTCCAATTCAGGAGACTTTTTGTTTTTATTGACATCTTGCATTATATAACTGTCTTTATCTAAACCTATATTGGTCTCTGTTACAAAAGTTAATCCAATCTGACTATTTCTATCTTCTTGCTTTTCTAGTTGAAGTTTCACGGCAATTGCACTGTCAAGTATTTCGTCTATTATTATTTGCACTTCTGTCCTAAACTGTTCTGATATGTCTTGACTGTCATCATCTTCATACATATAACCTCCCTGCAAGAACTCTTCATTTTGATTGATAGATTCGGACGTCCCTTTCGTAAACTTTAACGTTTTTTCATGTTGTTTTTCCAAAGCTCCTTCAAATTCATGAAAGTAATCTTCTTCATTCCTCGATACTATTTCACTAACCTCAGTGGGATCGGCAACTGTTTCTTTACTGATTTTAACTGATGATATTATGTGCTCTGACTCAGTTTTTTCATCCGCATTGTTAGTAGTTTCATAATAAGGTATTTCACAAATATTCTAAAAACAAAAAAATCTTAATAACATCAATCTCCAATTTAAAAAAAAATACAAAAAAAAACATTAACTCACCATAACTCTTTCGATTAAGCTATCAATTAAATCTAAAACTGGTCCTTCTTCTTCTTCTAGTTCTGCAAATGACATATCATTTTAATTACTAAACTTAGGTTTCTACCCCATTTAGCTCCGTGAACCAGGAGAAGACCTGTAGCGTATATACATAAACACTCACGCCTGTCACCCAGAGGGTTAGTCAGGGACAGAGTTAGGTTGCCAACTCGCCTGCCAAGCGTAGCAAATGTAGAAAAATCCCCCTTATGAGGCAATCTATGGGGACCATGTTCAGCAGGGGACTGATAGACTGTAAAGGATGAATGAATTAATAAAAAATAGATATAGTATTAATTTTATATTTTCTTGTCTATTACAACATATTCCCAACATGTTGTATCGTGTTATATCTATCTATATACTAGCTGTTCCCCGCGACTTCGCCTGCGTGTAATTTAGGGTTTTAATTACCTAGTCAGGTCATAAATTCTGTCACATGTTTAATATAAAATAATTGAAACAAGTTTATTCATTATGTAACCATTTATATACCAAAATGAACTTAACAAAACATAGATCCTTATGACACTAAAGTTTATTCAAAATGACCTCCGTGATTTTGAATACAGGCCTTCAATCTGCGCGGCCAGTCGTCTATCGCAGCACGAACGAGGTCCATGTCAATATCGGCGGCTGCCTTAATCAAGGATGTCTTGAGTGACTCCAAATTGGAATGAGGCTTTGAGCACGCCTTTTCCTCCAAGTGTTGCCATATCTTGTAATCTAACGGATTCAAATCTGGACTGGAGGAGGGCCAGTCTTCGTGCCGGATGAAGTCGATTTCACGCGCCGCTAGCCAGTCTTGTGTGCTCTTCGCTCTATGAGCTGGCGCCGAATCTTGTTGGAATACCCAGTGTATGTTATTGAACATAGTATGAGAAACAGGTTCCACAAGGTTTGTCAGGACTGTATTTTGATACACAACTGCATCGTTTTTACACCTTTCTCACAAAAATGTACCTCTGTTAAGCCCCAATAAGAAACTCCCAACCATACCATGAGCGAGGATGGAAAATAACCTCGTTGGACACGCGGAATACGATTGCTCGCTTCTTCACTACTGTGTGCGTACACCTTATCATTTTGTTTGTTGTAGCTGTCTTCTACGGTAAAAATATTTTCATCCGAAAAAAGAATTTCCCGATATTTTTTCCCGCGTACCGCTTCAACAAAGCGCGGCATCTCTTCAGTCTCAGGTCCATTATACGAGCATTCAAACGATGTCCTGTTTTTCTTCGATATGCCCGAAGCCCTAAGTCTTCATTTAACACCCTTTCACCGCGGTTCTGCTTAACCCCATCTGAAGGGCCAACAGTTTCTGCTTACGTTTGAGATTTCTTTGAATTCGCGCCTTCACAGCTTTTATCACTGCTGGAGTCCTAACAGACCGAGGGCGACCACTTCTTGACCTGTCATCTACACTAGAGTTTTCATTGTATCGTTTGATGGTACGATAAAATAATCTTTTGGTTATATTCAAATTATTAAGTATGTCAAAAATTTGAATTGGCGCGTAACCGTAACGATGCAACGCAATAACTGCAACACGGTCTTCTTTAAGCGTCCACTCCATATTTAAAAATGAGTAAAATTCTAAAAAGTATACAGTTTTATTTTCATGAACAATTCGAAAAACTTTTTTGTGGCCAGCATTCTAAAAGAAAAGTTTTTACTGTGTGACAATACTTATGACCTGACTATGTATATTGCTCAGAACTCTAATTCTTTTTCTCTAAGCCTGTATCCTAAGTTACTCCTTAGAACATCAGCTATCTACCAGTGAAAGTCCCGTCGAAATTGGTCCAGCCGTTTTGGAGATTAGCCGGAACAAACAGACAGACAGACCGACAGACAAACAAAAATTTTAAAAATTGTGTTTTTGCATTTAATAAAAAGCTGTTATTTTAACATTACAAACAGACACTTCAATTTTATTTATTTGTATCATCGATCACTAATAAAAAACATAGATGTATAGATATAGATTTTCGGACATAACCTACAATAAATTACAACTTGTACACTGCTGGCATGCTTTGCAGGAACAAATCCAACTCTTGTGCCCATTGCTATAAACCCAGCGTTATTTTTCAGTTTTTTTTACACGGTAATAGCATAAATAATAAACAAGTGATCAATGTCCATTAACAGAGAAATTTAAAATATTACCCCTGAGTTCCTCTTCTAACAGCTTATTATCCGTTTCTTCTAATATATTCACAGCCCATAATGTTATCTATAAATTAAATTTAAGTTTAAGTACTTATGATGTTCGTTTATCCTAGTTACAAATAGCAGCAGTAATTCATTTTGAGCGTGTCACATGATAAAATATCAAGTGTATTATACTGTTTTAAAACACTGAACATTAAACAGAAATATTGAAACTTCTAATACCTCATCTACCATCATGATAGTTATAGTTTTTTTGAATACGTGTCTAACCAGATTAGTCAGTTTCCGGCCTGTTTAGCTTTTGTTAGGCTTTTTACATTTTATCAATCACGCGGTCGATAAGGCGAGCAAGCGCTGCTGTTGATTTCGCGATTCCCGAATCACTTCGCACCGCACTGACCGCACTAACTCGAGCTAGTCATGGCATGGCACGAGCGGTGTTTCTCCCAACACCTCTCCCATAAAGAAGACTGATTCATTAATACTAATAATATTAATATAATTCTACATTCAATAATGTTTATATTTTTAAAACTAAGATACAACATCCTTAATAAGTTTAGGTGTTCGCCTTTTTTACCCAAAAGTGGCTTAAGTGACAAGACTGTTCGGATTTCTTGTTTAAAGACCTGGGAAGTGGCAACCCTATACATGGGATATGGGTACGCTACTACGATATAACTATAAGACTGTTTGCGCGTACTCTACATTATTGTTATGCGCAGCTGATGCTATTTCTTTGTATTTATAGCAGTTTGAGACATTTGCCAATGTCAGCGTTAATGAGTTGAATAGGTGGGTAGATGAGTAATTTCTGGGTAGGATACACTATATATACCTAATACTACATATAATCTAAAATATGAAGTAAAAAGATAACGTAGGCACTTAAAACGACAGACTAAAGATAATAAAAGGACAGGAAAAGAGGGAAAGATAATAATCTTTCCCTTAGATTATATGTAGTTTTATATATAGTGCATCCTACCCAAAAATTACTCTTCATCTACCCACCTATTCGACTCTTTCAACGACTAATTGATGCTGATATTGGCAAATGCATCAAACTGCTATAAAGAAAAAGAAGAAGCATTCTACCACCTCATATTGTCCCCTGGGTGTCGTCAAAGGAAACAGAAAGAAACTGAACCAAGAGATGGGCAGCAGCATCTCCTTGTTGCACATCGAAATTATAAAATAACTGCGGTTGACAACCCGCCTACCAAGCACAACTACTTCTGAGCAATTTATGGGAAGGCCTATGTTCAGCAATACACTTTTATAAGCTGTAAAGACTTCCAGAGCCTGACATCAAAAACTGAGAAAGATTTTTTTGTAAAAAGTAGAGGAGTGCAAGTGACATAGGGACGAAAGTTTTTCTTTAAACCGAAGGGAAAGTTTATTGAAGAGCTCAAAAGTTGAAAACGTTCTTTAAGGTATGGTGGCACAAGATAATCTGTTATGGGGTACCTACAAAAGCGGGTAAATAGCTTCTGAAGTGGGGGAGCTATAAAAAACTATGTCTTGACAAGATTTGCAGAAGCTATTTTATGTGGTAGTAATGATTTTATAATTTTTAATGCTTTAAAGTCGGTTTTTTAGGTTTTATCAAAATTTCGCTCTTTGATCCTTTTGAATGGACTAAGAAAGGAAAAGATATATGTTAAGCTGAAGGTTATATTAAACACTATGATTGAGTGGATTGTTTTTTTTTTCAAATTTATCGAAATATTAAGAACTAATTAAAAAAATATATAAAAATCGGTTCAAAATTGGCTAAGATATCGCGTATATACATTTAGGAAAAAAAACCCAAAAACAAACAGTCTAATTGAGTACTTCCAATTTTTTGAAATCACCTAAATTAAACTCCTTGTGGGAAATTAATAGGACAACTTTTATTTAATTTACCTTACGCGCAATTTCGTCAAGATGATCTTTATTTTTGCCCTGTTTTTGGTTCGAAATGTTCTTATATCGTAGTACTTCATGTATTTCTTCCTTAACTACGTTATTAATTCTTTCCAAACTAGAACAAATCACAAAGAAATCATTAGATAAATAGAAGTCGCATTGTCACATATTTCATACCATGCATTCGAACCAGTAGGTAATCTATGATTCGAACAAAACAATTTGCTTCGCTATTCAGCAAAGGAGTGGAATGATTTTCCAGTCTTTCTTTGCCATTATAATCGGGGTGTCTTCAAGGTGAGAGTGTATAGGGCTATGTCAGTGCACTTTACCATCTTCGGTCGCTTCACCACTTACCATACGTTCAAGCACTGCCTAATAATAGTTAAAAAAAATTGCGTAATATAAACGCCGTGAGCCGTGGTATCTCAGGGGTCAAAGCGCTCTCTGTAAATTTCTTAGTACCCGACCAGCCGAGTTGAATCCGTAGATCAATCTCTCGGTCGAAGTTGAACTTACCTAGTCGGACTATTGGTACAACATACTCGTCAACAACTTAGAAGCTGAGTCTCGCCAGCGACGCATTTGCATTTAGAAAAACCCAAAATTAGGGGCTTTTTATGTGCTAACTAGGTGCCAAGTTTAAAAATTAGGTGCTCTAAAATTTTCACTGCAACGAACTGTTGAAATTTGCGTTACCAGCAAAACATATCGCAAATGGCAATATCTAGCCACGCAATGAAGTTCGGTTCTGAAAGACTTCAAGTACCAGTTTTCCACTCGCTTTCGGAAGCTCCGCTGTAATTCCATCCACGATTCCGAGGCCTTGCCGGTTTTAAGGTGCTGGAGAGCCATTCTAATCTCAATTAAAATCTGACGTCCGGGATATCATCGGAATAGTGTCGGATAAGACTTACTCTTAGATCGTTACTCACACTTGCATGTGGCCCAATGATGACGTGTACAGCTGCGCTTAGAACCTCTCAATCTCACTCAAAATCTCTGGTATCCCGGAAACAATGCCACATTGGGTTTTAAGCTTCTACAATTGGCCCTTTATAGCTAACAGATCTCTGGAAAAGACTTTGGAGCGCTGTTTTCGCTTGATCACTTCTTCAATACAAACTGTATTGCAGTTGCGTAAGTCCCGCCGTATGCATTTGGAGATCTGTCTGTTTAGTTGCCTGTATGCTGTCAAATCTGCTGAAGACTGCAGCTTCATTTCCACGCCACGGGGTTCTGCGACGGGTCCTGCAGAACTTGGCTCCGACCGCATGGACAGTTTCCACGAGCTTGTCATTCATATCGTCTACTGCATTGCAGTCTTCTAGGCACTGAAAACGATTTTGTAACTCGAGCTGAAAGTTTCCGGAGCTTTGGATTAGAGCACAAGGGGGACGGATAGTTGACTTCATTGGACGTGACCTTTACAACTTAACACGTCTACGTTCAGTGTGCCTCTCACTATTCGGTGATCGCTGCCAGTTTTCACCCTCGCGATTACTGAAACATTACTGAACAGTTGCCGTCTAGTCCTCATAATGAAGTGAATCTCATTTTTTGTCGAACCGTAGGGGCTCGATCATCTCCACTTTCTATGGGCCCGCTTCGGGAAAAAAAGAGTTCACCATAAAGAGTACCTCTATCTGCATGAAGTCGGATAGCTGCTGACCCCTTGGGTTCCGTTGCTCGAATTTCCCTACCTTCAGCTAACCGTTATTTTTTGTGCATAATTTTGCGTTGAAGTCTCCTATTAACACCGTGGTTTTAGAGGAATGCATGACTAGAGATATCCTGGTGCGTAAACCTGTATGACCTTCAGCGAATACCGTTTGGTAATTCTGAGTATAAGGTCCGCAAACCTCGTCGACACACTCCCAATCTTTACAATGTAATGTTGTTATTACAACTTGTTATCGAGAGACTTGTGAACGATAAACCCGACACCTCTTTGGGATAGATCGTCGCCCTCCCGGTGATAGAAAAAGTTGCCGGCTACGAGGATTACCATGTCCTCCCTCTCTCTTAGGACATCAGATAATCCTATAATATCTCAGCACAACTTGCATATCTCTTCTTCCGGCTCCAAGATCTTCTCGTCAGTCCTCAAGGTACGTGCGTTATATGTTGCCAGATCGAGTCGTCTTAGGTGGGAACGTTCGGCTCCACTGAAGATTCTTTCTTTGCCCCGCCATTACCATGGTAGGCGGGTACTGTGAGCCATCTTTTTGTAACTTTAGCCATGGATGGTATATTGCCATAGTTGACACGGTTGGTGAGCGGGCTGGCAACCGGAATTTTTTTAATTTTTTATTTTCCTGGTGTGCCCTCTGCCGCTTCTAAGGACATCCACGAGAAGTTTTATGTAGCGGATATTCTTACCCGCCACTACACGGGTCAGCACCCAAGAAAATTGTTAATTACAATTTAAAGTGCTGATTTACCACGTGCTCGGTGGTGAGGGAAAATATCGTGAGGAAACCTGCATGCCTAAGAAATAAGATAAAAAAATTCAAAGATATGTGAAGTTCACCAACAAGCATTGCGACACCGCGGCGGACGTTTCCTTGGCCTAGACCCTCTCAGAAACGAGAGGAGGCCTGTGCCCCGCTGTCATATACAGGCTGTAACTTTAATATAAAAGTGTACATTGTTTTAAGGCACATAGTGCTGAATGAGAACTTTTGATTTAAAAACTGGCAATATGTGTTGCGTCTAACGCAACCACTGTAACTTAATTTAAATCTGACAAATTAATTGAAGAAAACAGTCTTTCTTAACCAATGCTTTAGGTATAGATTTTTAAGTTTTTATACCTACGTTATAACAATAACACTTACCGTGGATTTAATGATATGTTTAACGGTCGTAAAAGCTTCAAAATAAATTTGTACCCAAATATAGCACAAAATATTCTTATTTGCCTCATTCGGTCGTTTTCAATGATCGTACGTGACATTTTAGGAGACCTACAAATATAATCTAAATTTGAACAATATCGCAAGTGATAGAAAACCCTATGTTGTTTTATTTTTATTATTATTCTGGTTTTTTTTATGACCCCGTTCTGTGTTAACGCAAACATATTTTGGTTTGATAAGTTACCTTGATTCTCATCTTCCATTAGGCACTATCCTGACAACTTTTTCTTTCGTATTGTATTTCATTCATATCTACACATATATTATGCTTGTTGATTAAGCTTATGATACTCTTACTGAAACTCATCTTTAATATATCGCCAATTTAGTCAATAAACTTTTGTCTAAGGCAGAGGTGGATTAAATGTCGACAGCGCCCTAGGCAAGTACCTCATCAGTGCCCCTCTAGCGGCTATATATTGTAAATTGTAACTAGGCTCCTTTTGTGAAGAAACTACACTCATGAGCAAATTTAGAGGAACATATAAAACTCGAAAAAAAGTTTTGTAAAGTTTTTTTCGAGTTTAATTTGTTTTTATGTAATTATTGCGTGCGTTGCTTTCTTTCATACTGCGAAAAATTTTGCCAACTTTTGAATTTGAGTTAATGTAGGTTTCGGCTTTGTTTAAATTTAGAACGAATGGGGTGGCCAGCGCACTCCACAGAGCATGTATGGAATAAGCTTGGAAGACAAATTAAAAAAGGAAATTCTGCCCCCGCTAATTTTACAGATCTTAAGAATGCATTACAGGAAGAATAAAACGTAATCTCTCAAGATTTTATAGATAACTGATTAGGAGTGTGCCAAGAAAACTGAAAGCAGTTCGAAGATCTAGAGGGGGAACACTTAGTACTAAGTATAGCCTTTCCTAAGCATTTATAAAATAATTAATAAAATGTTAAGTACAAAAATGATTCTTTCCTGTAATTTTTTTATTTTTTTTAATTGGTTAATTTTGTCAATTAATCGTTTGTATTTCAACTTTTGCAACAATATTAAAATTAACGAATAACAGGCAACATCTAAATTAATTAACTTTTTTAATTACTTTTTTTTATAGAAAAATGGTGACAAGCGAGCACATAGTCCAACTGCTGGTAAGTCGATACAGTGTCTCATAGACGTCTTCATTTATCCTCAATTAAAAATCAAAATGCAGATGCGTTGTAACCCCTGAGGACTAAGATGGAATGCCTCGTTTCCATTAAAAAGGGTCTCCGGTTCTCTACGCTTAGCATACGAAACACAGCAGCATTGAGCTGCTATTTTACGCTGGTATTCTGTGAGAGCGTGGTTCTTCTCTGGTCGAGCCGACACACGTGCCACAACCATAATAGAACTGCAGCAAAATTAAATTAATAATTGTCACAAATATTTATAATACTTTGTTTTATACACATATTTTTTGTATTCCTCTAAATTTGTCCAAGAGTGTATATTATAATTTAAAATATAGTTAATAATAACTTAATATCTGCAAAATAATTAGGATATGATTAACCTTAGCAGGGCGTGAATAAAAAATGTGATAAGAAAGTGAGGGCCATGTAGGAGTAACCAAAATGACGAATTTTGTTTTCGCCTAGGCACGTGCCTAGTTTGCCTTAAAGGTAATCCGCCACTGGTCTAAGGCGTCCCTTACCGACGCAGAGCCGGTACTCACTTACTAGGCCTGACAAGATCGCCCTTTCTGCCTGGGAATCCGTCTGGATTTGATATTAAATTAAATCTTTTTTTTTGCCGTACATTTTAATCCTACTGAGTTGTGGTTTTAAGAAATACGGTTGGGATAAAGTATAAACCTAAGTAAAACAACGTCCAATCGAAATTTATCGATTCCTGTAGAAGTTTAAGTAATCAAATTTTCAGTAAGTCTTACAATCTCATTGTAAGGTTATCATCACTACAATTGTCATTTTGTATGTAAAATTTTTGTGTTTTAAAATAGACAAGCGATTTTAAGAGTTAAATGTAACTAATTTTTACGGATTTTATCGCGTTTTGATGTCCCGATGTCATAGTTAGCCCGGCTACCCTCAGTTTTTGATTATTAATTTTTGGTCCGACCTACGCAGAATGAGCGTATAGTATCTTGAAGTCTTACAGTGGTATGCTTGGGTTTGGATTTAATTTTATTAATTATAGGATCCCAAGCAGATGGCAGCACCCATCCATTTTCTCTAGTAAAATTAGGATTTTTTTTATTTTCAAGAGCCTCGCGATTCATCCTTGGTAGGAATCGGTGTTCTTTTGCGAGGATTTGTGGTCTATCAAATCTAATGTAATGGTGGGGACGATCTTGAACATGTTCACACATTGCAGACTTCCCGGAACTGTTCGGGTTCGGGCGTTCAGCTTTAGATGGACTCCAGGCAGAAAAGGAGTCGTACCACCAAGTAAAAAGTTTTCTCATTAATAAAATTTTTTCGCACGGTAATCTTTTTATTTACTCTTTGAAAAGGATTACATGAACCAGAATTATAACACGATACCTAATAGCACCCTCACGCATCGGACAGGATTTTTGTTACATATTATAAAAAGATCTGTCTGCCAGAAAGAGTCAACTGTCAAGGCTGAAGACCGAATGTGGCAGCATCGTTTCCGGGGCATCTGAGATTTTGAGTGAGATTGAGAGGTTGGAGCAGAAGTGCGGTGGTCTTGTTCTTTAATAAAGGCGACAACGGTCTCTTGAAGAACTACAGACCGATTTCCCTTCTGAGCCGCGTCTACGTGCTGTTTTCGAGAGTCATTACGAATCGTCTTGCGCGCAGACTTGACGACTGCCTTGAGGACAGCCTCCCGAACAAGCCGGTTTCCGAAACGGCTTTAGCACCATACATACCATTCGGCAAATTATACAGAAGTCAGAGGAGTACAATTTGCCACTATGTCTGGCGTATGTGGACTATGAGAAAGCCTTTGATTCCGTCGAAATTTGGGCGGTGCTGCAGTTCCTTCAGTGGTGCCAAGTTAACTGTCGGTATATCGAGGTGCTGAAGTGCTTGTACAGTAGGGCTACGATGGCTATCCGAGTACAGAACCAGAGCGCCAAACCTATCTAATTGCAGAGAGGTGTAAGACAAGGTGACGTCATATCCCCGAAACTCTTCACCGCTGCATTGGAAGACGTTTTCAAGCTTCTGGGCTGGAAAGGATACGGTATCAACATCAATGGCGAGTACATCACTCACCTTCGATTTGCCGACGATATAGTTTGGATCTTTATGGCAGAATCGCTGGAGGACCTAAGCACTATGCTCAATGACCTCAATAGTGTTTCCCAACGGATAGGTCTTAAGATGAACATGGACAAAACAAAGATCATGTTCAATGTCCATGTCACACCTATACCGGTAGTTGTTGGGAGCACTAAGTTCGAAGTTGTTGACGAGTATGTTTACCTGGGACAAATAGTCCGACTAGGTAAGTCCAACTTCGACCGAGAGGTCAATCGACGGATTCAACTCGGTTGGGCAGCGTTCGGGAAATTACGGCACATCTTCTCGTCAGGTATACCACAAAACTTGAAAACGAGACTGTACAACCAGTGCGTGTTGCCAGTGATGACATACGGAACTGAGACGTGGTCCTTCACTGCTGGCCGGATGAGGAAGCTCAAGGTCGCTCAGCGAGCTATGGAGAGGGCTATGCTCGGAGTTTCTCTGTGTGATAAACTCAGAAATGAGGATATCCGCAGTAGAACCAGAGTGACCGACATAGCCCAACGGATTAGTAAGCTGAAGTGGCAATGGGCCGGCCATATAGCTCGAAGAACCGACAACCGATGGGGAAAAAAGGTTCTCGAGTGGCAGCCTCATACCGGCAGGCGAAGTGTTGGGCGTCCCCCCACTAGATGGAGTGACGACCTGGTAAGATATGCAGGAAGTCGATGGATGCAGGTAGCTCAGGACCGTGCTTTGTGGCATTCCTAGGGGAGGCCTATGTTCAGCAGTGGACTTGTGAAGGGCTGTAATGATGATGATGATGATGATTATAAAATTCTTATTATCTTTCTTCAGTGAATTTCTATCAAATTGGGCTGCAACGACAAACCTATATATCGATATCGCTAAATCGGAAGGCGAATAAAGAAGGTGGACTGTGTACTAGTTTGTCACCCATATCCTATTAAAAAAATATTAACTTATAAATGTTATCGATCAATATCGATTTAAACATTAACTTGCCTCTTTCTTGTCCTTTTTTTCTTCTTTTTAAAGCAATTTATTGCGTCGGTTATATGCACTATTGGCGTTTCATCCATTACCCGCTGTTTGAGTCGGTCTACCTGAAACAAAATTAGGAACAGTATTCCTATCAAGTCGGGTAGAATATAGAATAATGCGCAGGGTTTCTTGTATAACTTAAGGAAGTTAGTTCTCAAAACTCTGTCACAGTGCAGTTTGAAAGAAGTTAATGAAACAAATGTTCAATTATAATTTAAAAAGGTTTAACTAAAATAATTATGTTAATAAGTTAAGAACGTCGCAGTTAAGATGAGAACTTAAACTGACTTACAATTTTTTTATTCTTATCAAATTATAGCGATTCAACGACTTGACATGGCTAAATTTAACGCATGCATTCGGAGGACTGATAAAAATTCATATGACCGCACGGTGCCGCGCGGTACAAGATCAAAGTAAATGACGATTATCGTCTACATCACCCCGCGGTACCGTACGGGTCAAGTTCTATGAACCTGTAACCACCTGTTCAGTTTATTCGCGCGAGTTGAGACGGACAGACGCATAGACAAGCATTTTTTACGTGGTAGAGCCATGCTGCAGTTATATTAATAGTATAGTTGTAGCACGAATGGGTCAGCTCGACCGGGGAAGGACCACGCCCTCACAGAATACCAGCGTAAAATAGCAGTTTAACACTGCTGTGTTTCGTGTGATGAGTGTAAAGAACCGGAGACCCTTTTTACTGGAAAAGAGGCATTCCATCTTAGTCCTCACGGGTGAAAACGCATATGCATTTTGATTATTTATTGAGGATAGATGTAGATAGATGTCTATGGTTCACAGC